CTTGTTGACATTGTTATTAGCATTCCGTTATTGGCATTATCCTCATAATCAACATCATCGCTATTTTTATTAATACAACTACTTCTAATGTTAATACTAATTATCATCATTATTGTTGTTATTATTGCTATTATCATCGCTATTACCTGTATTATTATTGTTATCATCATTATTAATATCATCATGACTATTACTATTGTTATCAGCATTATTATAAAAACGCTATAATCAGATTGCGCTATTCCATTATGTACATGGGTATAGCTAGAAAGAGAGAGAAAATGATAGAAAGAATGATAGAGACAGACAGACAGACAGATAGATACAGTCTACAGACGCATGAAGATAAACTCATTCTCATTACATAACCCGTTTGAAAATAATTAAGAAAAGTTCATTACACGCTCTAATGATTCTTTACATTTCGTAGACAACGAAGACAGATGGGCCACAGCGTAAGGCTTCACGCCGTGGGAATACATGTCCCTTGGCCGTCTCGACAGAAAGCAAAAGTTATATGGGTCGCTGCTCAGACGCTCTTATCTGGGAACCTTTCTTCTTCCTCTTTTTCTTCTTCTTCTTCTTCTTCCTCTTCTCCTCCTCCTCCTCCTCCTCCTCCTCCTCCTCCTCTACCTCCTCCTCCTCCTCCTCCTCCTCCTCCTCCTCCTCCTCCACCTCCTCCTCTACCTCCTCCTCCACCTCCTCCACCTCCACCCCCACCTCCTCCTCCACCTCCTCCTCCTCCACCTCCTCCACCTCCTCCTCCTCCTCCTCCTCCTCCTCCTCCTCCTCCTCCTCCTCCTCCTCCTCCTCCTCCTCCTCCTCCTCCTCTTTGTCTCAAAGTGATCTGTATCTAACAACACATGGGGTGTTTGTACTTGGGTATACATGGACAAACACATATGCGCACATATATGTGTATGTGGGGGAGGGGTGCACATATGAATATATGCAGGTGTATATACATGTATTAATGCATGCATACATGTGTGTGCGTGTGCGTGTGCGCGCGCGCGTGTGTGTGCACACACAGGAACATCAATTACAAATATACATTGATAAAGACAAAGAAAATCAAATATATAAAGAAAGCAAATCAAGGGCCAGAAAGGGTGAATGGGAAACGAGCGTATAATATATATATACGAAAAATTTAAAAAGCTGAAGATCCGGAAAGAGAGAAATGAGTAAGACCAGAAAAGAAGAAAAACGCGTTAAGCGAGAATGCAAAACAAAATGAGAACGTGGAAGGTAAACAAGCCTACGTTAAATTTAAAAGAGGCCTTCAGTATATAGCAGTAGGAACCTCAATTATTAATATAATTTATAAAAAAAAGAGACTGAAAGAAAGAGCAAACGAAAAGAAAAAAAACGAACAAGGAACAGAAAGATAGAGAAAAAAAAAACGAACAAGGAACGGAAAGAGAGAGAGAAAAAAAAACGAACAAGGAACAGAAAGAGAGAGAGAGAAAAACAAAAACGAACAAGCGATGAAGGGGAAACGAGCCTACATCCATGATGAACGAGGTAATTTAACCTCTAACAACACAATGATAAACAGACACAGGGGTTCCACCTAACAACGTCACCCTTGAACAACTCACAACCACCTTGCCAATTAACCTCACGTAATTGCTGTCGTTAGTTACCTAATGATAAGGTTGTTAAGTCTTAATTACTCTTATTGATATTAGTCCCCGGGATGGTTAAGAATCGGTGAGTTTGCGGTGATGAGTTCGTTATAATGGAAGGTTATTATCCGTGTAGGATTGTGGGAGTAATGATATGATAATTCTTTCTTCTTCCTCCCCTTATTTTTATCATTTATTAGTAGGTTTGGTAGTAGTAATAGTAGTATATGTAGTAGTAGTTGACTTGCATTATGGTGATCATGATCGTTAATATCGGTATCATTATTTCTACTACTACATTTACTACTACTATTACTATATCGATTATTGTTTATGGCGTCGTTACTGCTGCTACTACTAGTACTACTGTCATATAATTATCAATATTATCATCATCGTCATCATCATCATCTCCATCATCTCCAAAATTATCTTCCTAGATCACTACTATTACTACTACTACCATTGCTAACATTTTAATCATTACTATTGATTGGTAGTTTACGGTACGAAGATGATCACTGAATTCAACAAACTTAAAGACGAGATAACTCTCACCTCTTCTCCTTCCCTTTTTATCAACCTCCTGCCTTTCTCTCTTCTACTGTGCGAAATTCTTGCGTCATGTCCCAAGCCAAACAGGAAACAGAAATACAGACCACATTCCAGCTAAGCCATGTGGTAGCGGCGTTGCCAGAATGGAGGTCCTGCTGATCAACAATTTATTGCCAGAAACAGCGGACGTAATTATGATGTGGTAACACTGTCGGCGAAATCAACTCCCACCCCCTGCTCCTTCTCCCTACTCCCCCTCCCCACTCCCTGATCTCTCCCATTCATAAAATTATCCACGGAAAGTATAAACCGCAAGTGAGCAATAGAGGGAGAAGAGTTGGATTCCACAAGCAGTTAAGAATAACAGGATTGGATCCTCTAAACGTAGTAGGAGGAGAGGAGTTGCATCCTATAACAGACGAGAAGATGAAGATAGGATCTCACAGCCGTGGTAAAGAGGGGATTGGATTCTGTAAAGGTTGAACAGAAGAGAGTGCATTCCAGAGCGGTTAAGAGTAAAGTTGGATAATATAGACAGTATGAGCAAGAGGATTAGATCCCTAATGATAAATGTACCTAAATGAGACTAGCTAAATTCAATTTACACACACAAAATAAAAGAAACTTTTACTAATGGGCTTCCTAGCTTGTATTTAGAGAAAGTTAGCTTTATTTGTGTAAGTAATGCATATAGCGAGAGATCTAAAACTGCACCGGCTTTCTCCCTGTAAAACGGTGAAAATAACAATGCGGTGAATTGTTTCTGTTTATCACAATAAAAAAAGTTCAACACCGTGACAGGGTATGCTTAGAGTTCTGGAAGAGAGAGAGAGAGAGAAGGAACGATGGAAGAAAAGAAAGAAAGGAAATAGAGAGTGAGAGCCTGACTGACAGAGAGACAGACGTATGACAGACAGACAGGGAAAGGGATATGATGTTTAGAAAACGGACGTGCATGTTTGAATAATTATGAAATCCCACTAGTAGGTAAAGTAAACAAATTATTCCTATAATGATTATTATTAGAAGAGAAAGTGATATTTTACCGACAACAAAAAATCTTCAACATTAGATGCGCTAGATTTCAATTTAAAAAGTTTACGTGTGTTGTTTACACACTAATAATAATAATATATTACTTTCGTATAACCCAAAAAGGCAATTATTTGAACACATTTTACTATTTCCCTTATATATTTTTTTTGAATAACATATTTCATAAATGGAATTCATATGATATAAAACTCTCTCTCAAGAACATTAATAAACATTAAGGATGCTTATGCAGCTCATGTTTCAGTGTCCATGACTCGAAAGCACATTGCGATCTCTCAGATGTATTATACGTGATCTATCATACTTACGATGTCGATGTACTCGGTAGCGATTTATCATTCTTGCCATAAAACACGAAATAAAAAAAAATGGTATCGAAGTCATCGAGGAGATATATTTCCATCACGTGAAAATATGAAGGGAAAAAAATTGTGATGATAAAAATGATAATAAATAATAGAAAATAACTGATAAATTAATTAATCATGCTTCACCTAACGAAGCAAAAGTATGACACCCTCTACACACACAGTATTAACCCCATGCCTCTTCCCCGTGCCACCATATACCCCTTCCCTCTTCTCTTCCCTTTACCCCCTACCCCATCAACTTCCCCCTTCCACTTCCCCCTCACCTTTACCCTTTACCCCTTCCACTTCCCCCTTCCTCCTTACCTCCTACTCCCTACCCCCCTTCCCCCTACCCCCTACCCCTCACCACAACCCCCACGAGCAGAAACACTCCTCAAAACCCCGCCAGCTCGGCAACACCTCTGCCTCTGCTTCTGTTTGGCCTTCATTAACCCCTTCGACCGCCGATGGAGCCAAAAAAGAAAAAGAGGAGGAAGAAGAAGAACAAGAACAAGAACAAGAAGAAGAAGAAGAATAGGAAGAAGGGCTCAGTAGGTGTCCCTCTCCCGCGCCATTGTCACTGCTGAAATGATAGCGGTGTGGGATCAGCTGCTGGAGGTGAGGGGGGGGGGGCGTGAGGAGGAAGGTGGTTTGAGAAAGCTGGGAAGAAGAAGAGAGGGGGGGGGGGTAGAAAATTGAGAGAAAGAGAGAGAGAGAGAGTGAGTAGAGTCTGACTGAAAGAGTAGAGTGAGAGAGAGAAAGATGGGGAGAGGGTTAGAAAACTGAGAGAGAGAGAGAGAGGAGAGAAGAGGGAAGTAGAAAACTGAGAGAGAAAAAGGGAAAGAAAATAAAAAAGTCAGAGAGAATGAGAGAAAGCACAAGTCAGAGAGAGAAAGACAAGGCAGACACAGATATCGATAATGCCGATAAACAAAACGAAATCGCAGAATCCAAAATAAAACGAAAAGGTATATCCAGCGCACATCCGTCTTTGAAGTTATTACGAAAACCGCAAAATCCCCCCCCCCCGTCCCCCACCCATTCACCAAGATCAAAACCGCAGACTTCTCGCCCAGTTGATAAAATGAGAGAAAACGCAGCATCTTTGTTTTATAAAAGAATTTTATTTTCGTCTTTTTTGCTGTATTTTTTATTGCAGTTTATAAAGATATGTAGTGCTATTTGAGGAATGTAACAATTATTATTATCATTATCATTATTATTGTTTTTTTTCATTATCATCATCATTATTATATTATCATTATTGTTATTATTATTATTATTATTATTATTATTATTATTATCATCATCATCATCATCATCATCATCATTATTGTCAAAATCATTATTGTAATTCTTTTTTTTAATTATCATTATTAACGTCGTCTGTCTTTTTTTCTATTTCTAG